TGATAGAAACTGCTTTGTTCTTCAATACTCTCGATTATATAGAATACAACAAGCAGTATGAGCATTTCTTTAGTTGTCAGCAGTAGCTGTGAAACAGTGAAGGCCAGGTTACCTGATAATCAAAGGAAAAGCCACACTGAGCACCATAAACTACCAATTAGTGGTATCAAATGGTTTGCCTATATGAAAAAGATCAAATTTTTTCCTGATCATAATGTGAATTATTTTAATTACATCATGATTATATGTTATGCTCTTCTTCATATAAGCAATTAATATCAAAAACTGTCAGTTTATGGTGCTCAGTGTGCCTATTGCTTATCAGGTGGCCTGACCTTAACTGTTCCACAGCTGCTGCTCACTGAGAAAAATGCTCAGACAGGACTGCTTAAAGTATTCTATTCTAACCAAGTTCTTCTTCTCCGGTTTCGCACTCCACTGCCCTGTTCTGTATGTGTAGAAATAAGAAGATGACACTATTTGGTGTCAGTGGGTAGTACACTTTCCGCAGGTCCATCTGATTCCCGAGCTGCCAGACCAGCAAGAGCTCATCTTTTCTACACCGTCAACTGTTCACATCAGAAGTGTCAGCCGTGAGACCCAGCAGCTAAAGGATCTCTCTACTGTGAATCCGTTCTGTTGAGCTCCAATTCTGTTGCCCAGAATGCAGTCTGAATCATTTTAAATTTCCTTAGAAATGTGATTGGCAGAGTGCAATGGTGGCTGCTGATAGGATGCTACATGGGTACTTGGGTAAGCTATAGCACCCCTAAATTTCATCAAGTACCCCCTGGATGTGGTGATACAAAATTGAATTCTGAATAGGCTGTTGTATTCTTTCCACTTTAGATGGGGCATCCTCATTCTGAAATGCTAGTAAATGTCCAGATGGGAGGTATTCTTTGTATGGCTTTGAAATTTCTGGAAAATGTTAAAACACCAACATTTTTAGAAATATCAATATGGCCACGGTCACCTTTACTTTTTTTAGATTTGTCAGCTATGTATTTCAAGGGCATATTTATTTGGATATAATCTAGAAAGAATGTTTACGTACTACATAACAGTTAATCTGAAGAAGATTGATGAGCTTGATCATACACGGGCAGACTTTGGTGGGAGACGTAATCAAAATCACGGGACAGATGAGCCAGTCAAAGTTCTCTTCACAATTCAGCTAACATGCACAGTGAAAGGAATGCACCATTTAAAAAAAAATAAAAATCTAAACCAGGAGTCCCTTAATGGTGGACCGCGGTCTGGATATGGACTGAGTAGCAGTTCTATCCAGACTGCGATCGCTGACTAGTTTTTGGCTGGCTGATAGTGGATGTGCCAACCTCAGAGGCCCGACGAATCCACAGCCAACCATAAGCCAGTGCAGGTCCCCATTCATCCTCAGTCATTGGCTGCTAGGACCGCAGTGTTCCTAACAACCAATGACTTCTATTTTGTTACCCGCCCAGCATTAAGGGAGGACAGAAGAGTATCGTCTTCCATCCTCCCCTGCAGCCCAAAGTCTGCCCCACCTCCCAGCACTGCCTGCCTGCTCCTTGGGCTCCTGGATTAATGTGACAGCAGTATTTTAAAGGGACACTCTAGGGACAACCAGTGTAAGGGGGGCACTCTGATGGGGACAATTACTTATGAGTTGTCCACATCAGAGTGCCCCCTTACATTAGATGCCCCAGAGTGCCCCCTTACATACATTGCTGCCAACGGAGTGCCCCCTTACATTAAATACAAAAATAAGGGGGTACTCTGATGGGGACAGCCAATGCAGGGGGGCACTCAGATGGGGATAACTAATTATTATTAATATATTGGGTGTCCCTATCAGTGTGCCCCCTTACATAGCTTGTCCTCAGAGTGCCCACTTATATTGGGTGTCTCCATCAGAGTGCTCCCTTATAATGGGTGTGCCCATAAGAGTGCTCCCTTGTATTTAATGTAAGGGGGCACTTTGATGGGGGCATCTAATGTAAGAGGGCACTCCTCTGGGGGCACTTAATGTAAGGAGGCACTCTCAAGGGGACACCCAATATAAGGGGCACACTGATGGCAGCAACTAATGTAAGGGGGATTTCAATAGGGACACCTAATGTAATAGGGCACACTGATGGTGGCAACTAATGTAAGGGGGCACTCTGATGGGGACATCTAACGTAAGGGGGCACTCCGATGGGGGCATCTAATGTAAGGGGGCACTGCGATGGGGGCATCTAATGTAAGGGGGCACTCTGATGGGGGCATCTAACGTAAGGGGGCACTCCGATGGGGGCATCTAATGTAAGGGGGCATCTAATGTAAAGAAGCTCCCTGATGGAGACTCCTAATGTAGGGAGGTTCCCTGATGGGGAAACCTAATGCAAGGCGACTCTCTGATGGGGACACCTATTGTAAAGGGGCACTCTGTTGGGGACACCTAAGGTAAGGAATCTCTCATGAAGAAAATGTTGGTCACCAGACCATCCATAAGTTTTTAGTCAAGTGTTGGAAATCACTAAAAAAACAAGCACAAATTACATAAGCAATAATATGCTACACTCCTAGATTATGACAAAGACTGCTTGTTTAAGGAACCTGAACCATATATCAGCATGCTCACGCTATAGCCAATTCCATTATCCTTCTGTAGAGCACACTATTGTCACTGTTGATGGCAGTTACTTTTTTTCCACTTCCACTTTGGCTAGTACTGTGATCACAGGATATTAGATAACATTAAAATGTTTGGGACACCTGCAGCCAGGTAGATAGAAAGTAAAGAACGTAGGACGAGGTATTGCTTGAACTACTTTTTCTGACAGTAAGGGCCTGCTTACACCACAGTGCACTCTTGTTGGTGTGCATTGTAATGTGTCTTGTTATTATTATGCGCTGGTGTGCATTGTAACAAGTCATGTTATTATGCTCTGGAATGAATTGCAAAGTGTTACAGCTCTTCAGAACACGTTGTGCAAACATGCAGCATGTCCTACATATTTTTTTTAGCACTGCATTGGTGTGAACTAAAACCTAGTAATACAGTATAAGGCAAATCGTCGTGTTCTTGCATTGGGGTCGTGTTAGGCTGCTGTATATGACCCTAAGAGGAAAAGAGTTAGACAGAAAAACACCTCTTTTAAGATTTGTTTCGATTAAAATGTTTACATTAAATTTTAAAATCTCAGTGCTTAATCCCATTGCACATGTATTACATCCCAGTGTTTGAAAATACATTAAATAATAACTTGATATAAGGCTTTGCTCTGTAAAGTATCCTAAAAATAAGTCCAGTGCAGCCCACATCTTCATTCACAACAACCATTAAAAATTACTATATGTTTTTAGATTTTTGGATATATATTTTATTTGACAGTGTTTTAGAATATCATACAGTAAACAAGATTTATGTAAAAGTTAATTTAACCATAGTGGTGCATTTCATAAAAATAGTTGCTCACTTACAGCCTTTCTGTGACTATTAATACATGGAATTATATTTATAGAGATACAGCTGTACAAGGTAAATTCACAGCGAACACTACACAGAATTATAGTCTGGAATGGGGTTTAGATGACGTGCCGTCTTTCAAAGTTATCAGTTCTAGCCGCAATAAACAGTTACTGCATGGGTCATTGCAATACACTCTGCAAATAGAGTTTATGCAAGTATAGTGTTTTAGATTACATTGCTTTGTATTTCTTTTGTTATTGGTGGAAAACTAGAAATAAGGGTAACTGGGACATGCACTTCACTACAGAAGCATTTTCCAAAACTGGATTCAGCAAGTTAATGATGTTGGCCTACTATGAGACTAACTGGCAAGAAATGGATGGTATGAACATTGGTAAAACGCTCTGTATTTGTGCTTTAATATTGTGGATGGTGACTTATTTTTAAAGCTGAAGATTCAGTTTTAACTAGCTGTCAGAGGCTTGTGTTCCTTCCCCAAGACTTACACTGGTACTATTTTATTGGAACAGAACTAGATGATACCTAAGATCAGCAACAAACGTTCTATAAAAATTGCACATTGGATGAAACGCATAGTTAGTAATATGAAATGAAATGCACCCTTATCCTGCCTCAGACATCCTGGTAATATATAATTTCTTCATTTCTTAGATATCTAGGTATAATACTTTCATGAAAATATGCTTCTCAATAAACTGTTCTTGGTTGCATTAGAAATATAACAATCCCTTTGAAAGTGCAGTTGCGATTTTATAAATCTCCTCCATAAATTGATAATAATGGAATCCAAATAATTGTATGGTGGAGTATAAGGCAAAAAAAGGAAAATGTTTTTTTAAGTCTTCTTCTAGTTGTAAGCGATGACCTGAATTCCTATTTTTTTTTAGATCCCTGGAGCACAGGGGTTTGCACTCATGGCTAAAAGTGCAGTAACATAATGATTATGGATCCCCTTTACTGATTTTGTCAAATTAAAAGTGGCTTTGTAAAAATGATATGGATAATTCAAGGTGCTACTTTTGCCCACAATGCAGAATCATGAAAGATCATCTGAAAGTTTACATGCTATAGCTAAATTCGATCTTCCTCTATATCTCCTAGCAGATTGGTTTCCAATTTAACCGATTTTTGTATAAGCTGGGAGGTTTGGTGAGAAACATAATCTCATTATGTTTTTACTCTGATGAAATCTCTAAAATTGATTTGTGTCTTTTTCTTAAGATGTAGAAGGGTAAGCCACCAGCACACTAGGGTCCACTTTATCTTCCCATAGTTTATTAAGGACAGATAAACATGGTATCATATATAGATGCAACGTTTCAGAACAGTATATGGTTCCTTCATCAGGCTAAGGAAAGCGTGACCACAGTTTATCTGACCTTAATAAACTATGGGAAGATAAAATGGATCCTGGTGTGCTGGTGTCTTATCCTTCTACATGTTGATCTGCGCAGTGCCATCCGTTGCTACTTCAGCACCCGCTAAAGCATTGTGAATGGGATTCCGGTAAGGAGTGCGATGGGATAACTTCTGATTTTTCTTAATAGGTTCTCATCTGTGATCTCAGAATATTTAGTCATATGAGAGAACTTCTATGTACTGTACAATAAGTGTACACTTGAACGTGTGCAGATGTACAGATTTCATTCCAGTTTCATTTTGTTTGAAATGTACAGATATATGAAGTATTCACATAAAATGGTAATAAAAACGGAGCCACATCAGTCAGCACGCTAACCTTCCAAGTTAATGGGCAGCACACACCTACCTACATATGCGGGTTAATGGAGAGAGAGGTTCCTACTGAACACATTATGGTTTGCAGACTCAAAGCTTCAGAGAAATACCTTAACCCCTGTCTAGATATGTTGATAGCAGTATATTTACAATACCATCGTCGAATTACAAGGCATAATTCATTTACTCCATCTTACTCAGTGCAGTTTGATTTAAGGCGATGTTCCAGTTTGTGATTGCTCTATATTTGTCCTTTTTGATTTGCTACAGACAAGACTGGAGTGGTTCCCGAATCCTTCATACAGTGAAAAAATACATACTAAAGCTACACTGCACTGTTTGCCTCTGGTGCACTCCCTGTTGTTTTGGTTCTTCCATAGCTGCTGGACCCCGGAGATAAGGACCTGGGAGATCCGGCTACTGATGTACAGCTTTGCATCAACTGTACTTACTTCTTTATACTGTTTAGACACTGTGCACAACCTTACAGAAATACAAAATATATGCATCTGGTCCCAGATGGGTTTGTGTAGGTAAATGCATGTGAAAATTAAAATAAATAAAAGAAAATAAAATTATTTGAGACAGAAGCTAAGGAAAATAATTTTTCCAAGTCTATGTGAAACAAGTAAAGGGAACTGTCAGAGATTCAGTTATCTGCTCATGGCTGAAGAGCCAGATTTCAGGCTGCTAGGTAGCTTATCAGAGCCAGGAATTTTCCATGGTCCTGGTGAGACAGTTGCTTTCCGAGGTGCAGCGTTGGTGCTGCGGGTGTTACTGGAATGGGGAGGCCCTTCCTTTTGAGTCTCACTGCATTTAACTTCAGCATCTCTTTCATCTTGGTCCATGGCACTTGCTCGACAGCTGGACATATTGCTACTGTACATCTTTGATACCCCACCTGAATCTGACCTGCTCTGCTCAAGAGCCGTCACTGATTTCTTCTCACTGGTTGCATCCTTATATGTGTCTTTTGTACAGAATATTCCTTCACGGTTTGCTTCAGTGGACCTGGAGGTCCGTCCTCCACTGTCACTGACTGCAGTATACCTGCACTCTCCCACTTCACCAACATTTTTTACAGTCCCTTTCCCTGCAGAAATGGTCTTGCTACTCTCAGATTTTTTCTGTTTTCCATCATGAAATTCTTTTTTGAAGCTCTCCTCACGCCGTGATCTATCTACTTTCTTCGGGCTTGCTGATCTCTCTCTCGACTCTCCCAGCCGTTTCTTTTTATGACCATTTGCAGTAAGCTCCTTTGGTTTTCCCATGTCTTGTTCCCTGTAGATATCCCATGCTGGCTCTGGGTGTATCTGGTGAGTAGGGTCAGAGGGCAAGGCTAAATGTGATGAAGATAATGGTGCAATCATGTCTTCAAGAGAAATTCCTATTTCCGGCCCTGGGGAGGTGGCAGAGGGTGAACTCCAGGAGTTTGGTTCGTCTGTTATAAGTAAACAGAAATATGTAAGAATTGGTTTTACAGTAATAATTAAGTGTTATTTTAGGTACATTACATTTCTTATTATTTCTCACATACAGCCATATAATGCATATGCCAGCTAAGAGACGACCCTAAGGAACATGTATTCCACACTACATTCTTCTATGACATAGAAAAGACACACACACACACACACACACACACACACACACACACACACACACACACACACACACAATGTACTGCAGGTATACAAAATTCATATTCCCTCTTTAAGAGCAAAATCCTTTTTTTTTTACATTATCAGAGGTACAAAGAATCCTTGGAAATAAACATTTACTTATATAAAATCAAAAAGTTACAAGGAATGATGAATGATGTGATGGACCAAAGCTCCTGCAAACAGGAACTGAGTATTTCATATACAGTAGTGTGTAGCCTCAGAAATATGGAGACCTACAGGCTTATTCAGAGAAAGCACTGATACAATAAGTACAATAAGTACAATAAGTTTTGTAAATAGAAGACTCATACTTCCTAACAATATAATGGATCTAATTCCTTTCTTCACTGAATTAATTTTACAGTGTGCGTGTATGAAATTCATTTATTCCATTTGCTGGTGTCTGCTAAGTACATACGCTGTATGAGCTGATAAATCTTAGTTCTGCCTGTTATTCATGCTACTGATCCTAGAGTGGACAATAAGATGTTACAATATGAAAAATTACTAATTTGATAAAAAGAAAATTTTAATTTCCCCTAAACAGAATTTGTCAAGAAAAAAAAAAAAAAAGGCTTAAACAATCAGAAAATTACTTACTAGCCTTACCACCTCCCTACTACCATATTGTAACAAATGGTGGAGAGATTGACATCTATTTCTGGGATGTCATTTATATTTATAAGCAATGGTAAATCACCAGCACTCACGAAACGTAGCTTCAGTCTTCTTGATGATTTATTAAATGTCACGTTATGCCATGTATAAGCATACATGACAATGTGGCATTTAATAAATCGTGAAGAAGATTGAAGCTGCATTTCATGTGTACGGGTGATTTACTATTGCTACTTGAAAGCTCTGCACGGTGCCATCCGTTACATCACTACAAGCACCACCATTACTTTATGGTCGCAAAACGCTGTAAGGTGTGCAGGCAGATATTTGTCAATATTTATATTCATCATTCCATAAATAGCCCTCAGGAGGCCATTGCACTAATTAATGTGATGGCTCGGTTCACAGACACTAGTGGCTCTGTACCTGGGGATCACTGTGATCGGTCATAGAGAGACCAATCACAGAAAGCCCTCCGCTTCCTCTTACAACAGAAGATCATTTATTTGGTTTTAATCAGTAACTGCAGCAGATTAAGGGCCTGTTCACACGCCGTCCGTTTTCTGTGCTGACCTGATCCGTACGCTCCTGCACTAAAAATGCATCCTAATGTATCCCTATGTGTTTTATGGGCTACAGTTCTCACGTGCGCAATCCGTTCAGGTTACGACAGAAAAATACTGCATGTCACATTTTGTCCGGTCAGGAAACGGACCAAAAACGCACTGCACTGCAGCTAACATACTGACAGCCCCAGCAAAAAATAAATACATATATATATATTTTTTTAACTGGAACGCATCAAAAACACGGCCAAAACGCACTGCATCAGTAGCACCGCGTCTGCAGATCCGCACCTGATCAGGACCTGATATCATGTGAACAGGCCCTTAGGGTATGAAGGGGATTGATTCTGGAATGTTTTATTTTTTGTTTTAACTCTTTCACACCTTCTTCCCTCATGTACATCTGATCTGCATCCTGTCTCTAGTCACCTTCCTTACCTACACATCTCCACATTAAACCTCCTTATCTCCATCCTCCCACTGCATGTGACTTGTACATTAACTCCTTCACCTCCTCCTCCCTGTGTGTGAGCTATGATGTGCTGCATCTACTGTAGTGCACCATTGCCAAGCTCCATGTTTAAACCACTTCAGTACCAGTATGTTTCATTATTTCCCAAAATGTTTACCAAAAAAATAGATCACCTTGGTGTGCCCTGACATTTTGTATTTGCTATGTTTTATAAGTTAGGGAAACAATTTTTTCAAAATGTTTGGTGTCTTCTTTATATAGTAAACAATAATAAAACCCAGTGGTTATTAAGTAACACCAAATAAAACTGTACCTGTTTAAAAATAAATATAAAATTAATTTGGGCACAGCGTTGCGTGACCATGTAGCCAAACTATCACAGCAATGAAGGGGTAATAGAGGGACTTATATGGGCTGGTACTCAAGCGGTTAAAAGGTATTTCAGCCTTAACAGTTAAGTATGAAGGTTAATTGATTAGCCTGTATTTGTGGGAGGGGATTATGGCTATTTAAACCCCTCCTCTTCCGTTTCCTGCCTGATGTTGTAGGGGAAGCGTTTGTCCCCACCCATACCTTTTTATAACTTAAAATTCCATCACCTTTTCATTTGGTATGCCCCCTTTTAGGCGTACCTAACAGCGTGGCCACAGGCACACCTCAGGATACATTAGCTTATTGGCGCAACTCAGCCCACACTATGGGGTCTATTCACGAAGCAGCCAAAGGATCTAGCCGTAGCTTCGGCCGATCCTTCGGCTAGCTTCGGCCCCAGGACCCCTTCGGTTAAGTAGAACCGAAGGGCTGCTGTACGGGCTATTCACAATAGCCAGTACAGCTTCCGAACTTAGTCGAGCAGAAGGCATATGCCTCGGCTTGGCTGAGCCGCGCTGAAAGCCGAAGCTGGCTGAGCTGCTGGTCATTGGCTGGCCGACAGCCTGATTCTGACAGCTGGGCGGAGCCAGCCGTGATCTTACGGCTGGCGCCGGTCACTTGCAGAGAGATCAGCATCCCTGGTTACCAGCTAACCAGGGACACTGATCTCCAGACAGCAAACTCTCCCGGGCGCTCCGGGAGTCTCCCGCTCCCGGCCGCCAAGGAGAGAAACACTGCTTTTTCTTTTTTTTCTTTATTCTGACACGGAGCCGTGTCAGAATAGAAAAAATAAATGTTTGCCCATAGGATTGCATTGCTAGATTCCCATTGGCTATTTCAATTTGCAATAGCCAATAGTAAACTAGCATTGCACCCGTCCTCTGCTGCAGTTCTCCATCAGGTCCATCAGCAGAGTTCACTCGCTGCTGTTCGCCCCTATTCTCATAGGGGCCGAACGGTAGTGAGTGAATAGCCGAATGCCGCCGAGTTGCACTCGGATTGATTATTCTGCTTGCTACCTCCGAGGTTACTTTAACCCTTTAGTGAATGAGAAGGGGTACAAGTACCCCTTACTCAATCACAAGGGGGGGCCGTATTAATTAATATTAGTTAATAATTAATTAAAGGGGTACCCTGATGCAAATAAGCCCCCTGCCAGCAGACCCCCACAACCAATGGGTCAGGGCTTGTGGAAAAGAGGCCCTAGTCCCAACCTGCTTTGGCAGACCGTTCTCTCCACTTCAGCTGTGTGTTCATCTCATCCGAGCCAAAGCATATGCGCTTGGCTCAGCTGAGCTGCTTGGCTGCCTTCAGCTGCTGTACGGGCTATTGGAAATAGCCCGTACAGCAGCTCTTCGGTTTGGCTGAACCGAAGGGCTCTGGCGGCTGAAGTGAGCCGAAGCATTAGCGAAAGCTACGGCTATATCCTTCGGCTCTTTAGTGAATAGCCCTCTAATTAACAAAACCTCCAAAAGTAAACAAATTTTTCCCGGCTTACATGTCTACTGGAAATCATGAATATACAATAACGTACCACACAAACAGCGCAGAATAATAGAGACAATATAATAGTCTACAAGCAAAACATATTTGTTTTTAGCTGTCTTTTTTATGTGATTTCAGTGGTTACTGGTAGACATTTATTACTGTCATTTTTCAGATTTTCGGATCTGAAATGCATAGGTTTGTTCTTCAGATTTCAGATACATCCGAAGTTTTATTTCGGAACTATCCAAATTTTTGTTTCAGGATGAGTTTACCTTGCCTGTAATGCAATCCCCAACAGCCGAAACAAATCTAATTGGCCAGAGAACAGTCTCATGTGCGATTTAGTCTAGACAGATCCGAATTTCGTTAAACGGACATTTGGATTAGTTCGCATTTGGACGCCTTCAAATTTGGGAATTTGGATGCATCCAAATGTCAGAATTTAACGAAATTTGTAGAAATATCCATTTGTAACTAAATTAAATTTACATGTCTAGTTACTGGCATGATTGCTTTTTGGCAAAGGTATATCCAGAAACAACACACTAAAACTATGGAACTTGTTATATCCCATGCTGGTGCCTTTTGGATGTGGATAAAACCAGCACATTTATTAAGTGTGTGAAAAGTTCTAAGCAAGTCTTTTAACTGCACTACCACTGCCAGTCACATGCCTACAAAAGTGAATTTTCAATCCTGTATATGAACCTTTCTTTTCATTAAGGTTGAGCAGATCTGCACTGATAGCAAAAATCTCAGCTTCCAAAATGTTTGTAGGTATAGGACACTGTAATTATTTGCATAATCTCCCAATGGAAAGAACATGGCTAAAAGCCATGATCTAGTTATATTTATGTGTTTCAAAAACTCATGTCTTTCAAAGTTAATCTTTGAAGACAGGAGTCTTTATTTTGCTTTTCAAAGTGGGCCTATCAGTAAAATGATGGCGTTGTAATAATCAATAGGGCCCTATGTCAGCTCTTTCCTACTATGTATAAAAACAATGTTGCTCCTGGGCTCATGTCACCTAAAACCTAGATCATCAGAGACTGCAGTCTTTTGTTGTAATCACAATCCATATACCCATTGCACTCCTGACCGCTTATCCATAATAAAAATGGTTGGGTGCATCGGCAGTCGACGGATGGCTACCGTCCAGTAATACAAAAAAGTATGGACACCAGCACTCCAAAGGTAGAAGTGCGTCTCATTATTGATGCACGTGCAAAACATGCTCTCATTGCGACATTTCGGGGTCACG